AGAAGGGCATCCATGGGGACTGTCTAGACCATGGTAAGGGCACGGCCCAGGGTACGGCATCACATTCTCTCCACAAGAAGGGCATCCATGGGGACTGTCTAGACCATGGTAAGGGCACGGCCCAGGGCACTGCATCACATTCTCTCCACAAGAAGGGCATCCATGGGGACTGTCTAGACCATGGTAAGGGCACGGCCCAGGGCACTGCATCACATTCTCTCCACAAGATGGGCATCCATGGGGACTGTCTAGACCATGGTAAGTGTTGTGTCAAACAACATGAGAGGCCATCCCATAAACCCACACCGGCCCTCCATGGAACAGGTTCCCCACCCCTGCTCTAAAGGTAGGTAATGGTACCTTTTAAGGTACAGAAATGCACTGTGGTGAACATGTTTGTACCATTAGTTGAATGTTAATGTTATTTGTGCCTTGGGGATGTTTCTGAAAGTCAGTTTCTGTACCTTATAATATACTAGGTGCAGCTGAAGGGTACAACTGGCAGGCATTTGGGGGTAGAGCCCCAGTGACGAGCAGAGGTACAAACTGGTACACTTTTTTTTTTGGTTTTTCTGACAATGTGGCTGCAAGCTGTCGAGCACATTTTCTGCTCCATGGAAAATTATCAAGCCTAAATAGTGAAAAGATCACAATGCGGACCTACCGACCCACACTGGAAATTGTAAACAATTAAGTATGCATGACATGCTGTTTTGGACTGAATCCATAGTAATGTAAATACAACCCGATTGTGCTGTCCAGGGGCACAGCTAGAATTTGACCCCCCTGACAAAATGTTACTTGGGGGGGTCAACCATAGTAAAAATTGCAGACCTGCATGGATGTATAGATCTAATGTCTGCTGAATGTATACATCATTCCTCGTGTTCAGGGGCCCCTATAAAGAGCTGAGTTCCCCCAAAGAAAAAAAAAACCCCTATGCATTATTTACAACACAATCAACAGTTTATGAATTTTCAGTATAGCAGGTGCGACATTTTATTTCTGCATTGTGTTTTGTATGAATCACCATCATACCACAGCCCCCCTGCCTCAGGGCCCCCACTTTCCTCATTCAGATGTTGCTTTGGGCAAGAGCATCAGCCAAATAAATGGATCTCAGTTCTGGATAATTTATAGGGGGGGGGAGAAACTTAGTGTGTTGATATGAAAAAGGGCCAAAACTGGAATAACACATGACAACTGATATGTCCTTCAACCCCAAACTCCCCCCTAAGACACAGTGCATCAGACCCTCTACTGGAGAGACGAGGCTACTGCACTGGTAGCAAATGACCGGTGGATCGGAGCATCCAGACACTAACCTGGGCGTCAGCTGTCGGTCTCCTAATGATGGCAGTTACTACTATAACAACAATTACATCACTTAAAAACTAAATTCCGGCCCATTCTTACCATTCATCTTTTGAAATGATCTGGTAATATATATATATATATATATATATATATATATAAACACAGACCACCCGTGTTTCCCCGATTCTTTTCGTTTTATCTAATCGTAAAAGCTTGCCTTTTCCCAAGCTTATTACTATGGAGACAAAGACAAGTCGAAAAGAGAGCAGATGCCCAATGAATGGGAAATATATGTAACCATTGTTTCTAAACGCGGAGAAGAGTCCGAGAGCCCCCAGGAGAGGCTGTGACAAAAGCTGAAGGGATTTATGAAAACAGTACAATCTGAAATTCGCTATTAAGCTAAATTTTAGTGCTATTGCTCGTTCAGACAGCTTTACTGTGAGAAGGGTTAGTATGCAACCCATTCACACCACGTATGAAAAACCTCATCCTGAACAAATGAGTGCTCAGCTCTACTGCAAAACAGGCGTACTTCATTCATCAAGACTTTAGGTTTTTATTCTCTCAAATTTTGGCGTTAGAGCATTGGATCAGCTGACATCTAGAGCCCCTTGGGATAAAGGGTCTTACTCAACGTCCAAAAAGGTGATGTGACCAATCAACCACTTACCACCCAGTACCTTCTGGACTTGGAGAGAGATCCATCACCCACTGAGCTGCACACCATCAATTTAAAAAGAATAACAAATCTAAATTATTTGTGTACAAGATAGATGTAGATAACCTTCATTCTGCAAGCTTATAAAATGTAATGCCAAGTTTGCAAAAACCATATATTTGGATTTACATTACATTACTTAGGTTTAAGGTGCTTCTGCAGTGTAATATAATCGATACTGAAATCACACCAATAATAGAATATAATGTTACCGAAAAGCCCATCTCAGCCCTCAGAACCTGTCATACCATTTTAGGCACTCAAGAACTAAATTTGGATCAAAGTATGCAGATGTGCCACAAATACATTTAATGGAGGATTTAAAGTCACACTAACAAGTGGATGACAAGCACAGTGAAAGCTGGGAAATGGCGAATTGCGAGTCAGGTGGCCCAGCAGAATCTCACGCTCTCCATGGCTGCGGAAATGGAGCCTGCAGAATGACTCACCTGAGTGACCTTTAGAAGCAGCCTTTGACTCCAGCATAAGATCCGCCGGCCGCTGACACTGGAGCCCACGCTCAAATAATGTCACGGCATTTGATGACCGCGGGAGGCGGGCGGCTCCTTATCATTATCCGGGGTCAGGGCTGCATCTAACAGGTCCGGGCCGGTCACACGCTACTGAACCGGGCCAGCCAGACGCAGGGATCCATCTTTATTCTGCACAACCTACAATTCTCCCATCCAGGGCGCACTGCATGATTTACTGCATATCCAGATGATTTTCCAGATTTGCATAATAATATTGATTTCCCATAAGATTTCTTGTATGAGTGTTAGAGTCAGAAAGCGCGAGCGTCAGGCCAGATGCGTGAGAGTCAGAAAGCGCGAGCGTCAGGCCAGATGCGTGAGAGTCAGAAAGCGCGAGCGTCAGGCCAGATGCGTGAGAGTCAGAAAGCGCGAGCTGGCGACCCTGAAA